TTCTGTGGTTCTGTGATTCTGTGAAAATTTCTCTAAAAAAGTTTTCCATGATTGCTCTTAGTTTATTCATGTTTACTAGGAACAAACTGGTAAATTTAGATTCTTCAGAATATTCTGGTACTTGAAATAAATGTTTTGGCTTTTTCTTGTTTGGGCTCATGTAGGCTGCTTAGGTTTTTGTCCTTTCTTCATTAGAAGATGAAAAAGGATCCCATTATCATGATAATTGTTGTAGTTATTTACAATGATGTAACATCTGTATTTTCTTAAATGTTTGTTGGTTAATTATAATTAGTTAACATTCCTAATATTTAGGTTATCTTCACTTCCTGGAGCTATTGTTTTGAGCCACATGCATATTGAGATACACATCACTATGTACAGTTTTTTTATTTTGAAAACTATTTGCAGACTTTACATTATATTAAAGCTGGGACTATGGAGTCTAATATTGCAGTGCTTGGAAAATTGGGATGTGCTGTGGATCCTGGAACTCCCCTGAATCAAAGATAATTTTTAGCAAAGTCTTAAGGCAGGAAGTTTCTGAACGGATTTGAGTCCTTGAGGATAGACTTGCTTTTACTAGAGAGTTAGCTTTATTCTGGCACATTCCTCAAATTTCTTTTGGTCCATTCCTTCCAATCAAAATGGATCAAACACAGGAACAATGCCCAATTTAAAAAAAAAAAATAATAAAATAATCACTTGGAAAACTCCCCTTGACTCAAAATAAGATAGCCAGAACTTCTCAGGGCTTATAATTTCACAAATGCAAAGAAAGAGCAGTCTCTCAGCAGGGGTCATACCAGGGATTCTTTAGCAAAAAAACAGAGAGCTTTCGTATCAGGTAACTAGAGGCCAGAATACATCAGGAATATAGCAGTAATGTTGTTCTGTGTTTCTTCCTGGGGTAGGTCCAAACTATCCATATCCACAACTGTGAGAAACTGCCATATTACAGAGAAATTAGCCATATTATGTTCCAAAGATATGTGGGTCAGGTTTTATAGAGTTTAAATGTTATTTGTGAATTAGATTATAGTAATAAAAGATAGCAATGGAGAGGAACATTTGGAAAACTTCGAAGAGGTTGTATAAAGGTTACAAAAATATTCTTCTAAGTTTAAAAAGCAAAGTGAACTTTCTTTTAAAACAAGTTGTTAGTTTAGGGCTATTGCTGATGTAGGAGAAAGACCTCTCTTTAATCATAAATCCATTGAGAATGTGGTGTTACTGAAAAAAGGTTTGAACTGAGACCATATTTAGCACTGGTAAATTATTAGGGAAGATTGATTCTCCCTTAGTTTATAAAGATAAGGCCAAATTTGTTTGTTCTAAAGATATTTTTCAGTTGAAAACTAGATAGTGGTCTTCAGGATGTAAACCTGAAACAGAGAAGTTACTAAGTGTCTTAATTCAGAATTTTCTGTGGTGGAATTTGGTGCTCTTCTATTAAGAGCGAAAGGTTTAATTTTTTAGCAGTAAGTGTTCTAGTGTGTTTTGGGTACATAACAGTCCGCCTCTAACCAGACGTGTATGATGGCTCTATGGTTTCCATAAAACCTGTTGTTTATGGGTTTTAGGAAGTTAACTAATCTGCACATTTCATTCATTTAGTCCTAAATGAAGGCTTTTAAAGATTGCAGATGATAAAATATATTTTAAAATACAGATTTCTGTATAAAGCTTCTCAATTCACTTCTGCCACCTCAGAGGCAGCCAACAAATATGAGCTAGGTTGTTCAAATCTTAAATTCTCAAAAGTGTACCTTGGAGACAGAAATGTTCAAAAGCAAATCAGACCATTTTCTGATGGCCTTTCTGCATGATAGAAATCAGCAACAAGATACCAATTGTAAGAGTAGCTGCCCATCAATTTTTTTTAAAGAAAATGAAATGTAATTGTGAAACAGCACAACTATGCCTCTATTTTGTCTTTCAGAAATTAGTTGCAAATAGTTTTAAAATAATTTCTCCAGTTAAAAAAGGTAGATTTCTCCACAAAACTCAAAGCCAACTCACTTGAGTGGAACTTTGAGGTTCCTGGTGCTTTTTTTTTTCCTGTAAGCTTTCCTTGCTTGTAAAATTCAGTAATACCACAGCATAGCGCATCCAGGAGCCATGTCTTCAGTACAGGCTAAAGTTCTGGGCTTAATGTTTCCCATAAAGCCTATCTCTTCAGATGATCCTTTGACACGAGTATGTTGTGATGCAATATAAATGAGCTAACTTATCTCAGTGACGTTCAACAAAGGGCAGTGCAAAGTCCTGCACCTGGGGAGGAACAATCCCATGGACCAATGTATGCTGGGGACACCCAGCTGGAAAACAGCTTTGCAGAAAGGGCCCGGGAGGTCCTGGGGAGCAGCAAGCTGACTGTGAGCAAGCAACATGCCCTTGCAGCAAAGATGGCCAGTGGTATCCTTGGTTGGATCTGGAATGTTGCCTGCGCGTTAAGGGAGGTAATCCTTCTAGCCCAGAAGTGGAAGAGAAAATACTGACAAGGAAGGACTTCGAAAACAGGATGCTCTGTCACAGTCAAGACATTTCACTAGTGTAGGTCTTTGTCCAGGTTTTTTTTTGTGTGTGCACAAACACATTGTAGATACAAAGGAAGTGATCAGTCTCCCCAGTTCTGGAGTGCTGGCAGAGTTAACTCCAGTCTGTACCATTCAAATAATAGAAAGCAGATTACTTAGGATACATCTTTTGAAAGGCGCAGTAGTGCTAATTGCTTGTGGTTACTAATTTCAGGAAATGGATATTCGTATAATTGTATTTGTTATAACCTTTCTTTTCATATGTATTGACTTCTGCTCCTGTAAGTCTAGGCAACAGGAGATGAACCAGAAAGATAAATTTAAGGAATTTTTCTTTCAAGGAAATGCAGCTATTCCTAGTGCATTTGCAGCTATTCATAGTGCGTTCTAGACATGGAAGGAAAACAATCTGACATTTTTTGTAAAATTTAAAACTGAAGGGGCAAGGGTAAGTCTTAGTGATTTATTGACATGTAAGGTTTTTACATGGGGTTTATTAAAGGAGAATTTATTCCTAATTTTTCAAGTTATATATAGGAGATTGTTGAGAGTTTGTCATTGTAAGTTCTGGAAGCACTACTCATTGTGGAGCCAAAAAAGAAGGAATGTGACCCAGTTGCTAAGTAACAAGTTTCAGTTACTTCCAGATTCTACAGAGAAAGACTGTAGAAAAGTCAAGACTAGGGCAGAAAGAGAATGATCGGATTAAAAACTGACTAACTTTTAGCACTAAAGAGCTTGTATCCTTTTGCAGCAATTTGGAAAGCCTTTTACATAAAAAGTCTCTGGTAAATTGATTCAGTCATATGTATCCCATCAGGAAGCGTTTTACACTCAGCACTTTGAAAGAGGAACAAGTAATCTAGAGAAGCCTTTAGCCTGGCATGTGTTCACTGTTCCTTATTTTGTATCTACCTATGAAGATACTCCAAACAAAACTATTCTGGTATGATTTCTTGGCAGGAAGAAAATTGCATAGTATTTAACGTATATGTGGCTTTCAACTGCCTTCAGTATTTAAAACTTCTGGTTTGATTCTTGCTATTAAGCCAGATTTCTTATATTTAGTTTTACTTTTGAATTTTCTAATTTACGTTCAGCAAGGAAGAGTTTGTAGGAACATTTTGTTCCTGTTACACTGTCAAATACTGGCTTTTTTTGTTTTTTCACTTCAGAGTTCAAAATTTAGTTCAGGAGTTAATTTTCTGGTCAAAGTGGTTTTTTACCTTAAAAATATAGTCATTTTCTGTAAATCTTTCAATCGATAACAATTTCCTGAAGAAACTGTAATTCTAAAAGACCAATAGGAGTTGGAGAACATTATGAAATATACTTCAATCATTTGGTATAGTAGAAGTAAATAAAGTCAGAGCCTTACTGTCTCTGTTTTGAGAATAAATGTCTTGGCTTTTAGTTGGCTTTTATGTTGCATGGAAACTCTCTGGCAATTTTTTTTTGTTCCATCACCAATTCTTAATTGGATTTGCAAAACTGAGTTTTTAATTTGATTTCATTAAGAGTCAGATTTTCATAACAATATAGTTGTTGAAAGTAAAAATATAGAAAGGAAACATGGCAAGGAATATGGACCACACATCAAACTAATGACAAATGTATTGATGAGTGTTCACAAGTAAACATGAACTAATGAAAATGCTTCTTTTTACTTAATTTTGCAGGCACTGTCTTATTAACAGGAAATAACCCTAACTGGAGGTTATCAACATAGGTCATATTCCCAGGTTCCACAACAAGAACATGTTGTTACAGTTTGACATCTAAATTGAATAAATCTTTCTGTTTCATTTCCGTCTTTTATTACAGCTTTGTATCCCATTTATAAACCAGGGTAAATGTTAATATTGGCAATGTACAGTGTTGGTGTCACAGCACAGAATTTGTTCGTTGTAAATATTTTTATAAAATATAGCCTATCCTTATCATTATCATGTTTCTATTATGGCAGTTGGTCTTGAATTTTGTGTGTTCAGGAGAACTGTGTAGAGAATTGAAAGCAGAATGGCTCCTCCAACCTGTGACACACAAGAAGAACGATGTGGCTGATGAGGCTGATGCTGTACTTGGTTGCCTTTGACTCCTAAGTCTGGTTGATCTCAGTTTACAGCTGGTTTGACAGAGGTTTTTGTACTTTACTGGACAAGGTGGCCAAAAAGTTCCCTGCATAAAAATATTGACTAGAAGATGGTTGTATTAAAATGATTTTCAGGAAGTGATCAGTTAGAAATGTTTACCTTTAAGAAAACCCTTATTATTTGTTTCAGGAAATTGAAAGGTTGGAAAGTAAATTAAATCAGAGCCCAGAAAGGTGGCAGCTTTTGTGGGAAAGGGTCAAAATGAATCTAAAGGATGACACAAGACAAGACAATGTAAGTAGTAAAAGAGCTCATCCAATAGAATAATTCTATTCCTGCTAGATGGGCTACCTGGGGCACTGACAAAATCACTGTATTTCTTGGAGTAAAATACTGCTTTTGAAAAATTGAATATGTTATTCTAACCCATGATACTGGCTCTGTATATAGAACAATATATGTATGTAGAACAATATATTTATACTTGTGCTGTTTATCTAATTGCTTTTCCAGAGCAGATTAAGGCATACAGACAAAACGAGCATGAGCATTTTACTAATACACAAATACATGATTTTATATATTTAAAAGATTCTTCAAGTACAAAAAACCTCAGTTCCTGAAAGTAGCCAAAAGGATATCACAGAGTTTCAGAGATGAGTAAAAATGGAATTTTTGGAATTGTAGATTCTAGTAAGGGTAGGAAGTGTTCATGCTTGTGTTTCCAATTCGTGACTTCCAATTCCAATGCTTGCAGTAAAAAGAATAGCTAACAATATAGATATTTTCTACGTCAAAGGCTGCCCCTTTGCTGTCTACATGCCCTAGGAAGAATCTTAGATACTGCTTTGTGTGAGCTTTCCCTATAAACTTGACACAGTGAGTTATCAGCTCAAGACTGTACCCTAACTCTTTGGCTTCATGTGCCTGTTCAAATTTGCCAGCCTCCATGCAATGGTTAGTCCGCAGCACTACTTTTTGTTGTTGGTCCTTTGCTCTCAGGAAAGCAATATACTTTATGTCTGCCAGAGTCATTCAAGCTCACTTTATACACTGGCTAAATTGAAAAAAAGTTTTATACTAGCAAAGCAGAGGATTTTTTTAATTTTAATTTAAAGTGAAAAGAAAATGCAAGTATAAATATACCTAGTATCAGTCTCCTGTCCTAGCTGTTATTTAAGGATTCTCAGATAAATGCAATAGCTAAGAGCTAGCCCCAGTGAACGCTATTTCTAGGATGCTGTCATTTAGATTAAGACCAAATTCAGGTTCCCTCCTGTTCCAGGATATAGGGGAGGTTTATATTGGATTTTAGGAAAATTTGTCTTCACCGAAAGGGTTGTCAAGCATTTAACAGGCTGCCCAGGGAAGTGGTTGAGTCACCATCCCTGGAGGTATTTAAAAGATGTGTAGACGTGGTGCTTAGGGACATGGTTTAGTGGTGGACTTGGCAGTGTTAGGGTAACAAGTTGGACTCAATGACCTAAAAGGTCTTTTCCAACCTAAACAATTCTATGATTCTAATTCACAACTTAACATGTTGTACCATGTATTTTCAGTATAATGTTGCAACAGTCTCACAATGCAAGACACTTTGCATTTCCTTTTCTCTTTTATTTTCATCTTCTGTAGCTCCGGAGACATCCTTCTGGCTCCTCAGGGATGATGTCAGCTAATCTACATTCCTATCAAAAGAGATCTTTGTTGGAAATACCTGACGGTGGGCTGGGTGAGGAACAGAGTGCAAGCATCTCTCCCTCAAATGGAGTAGATAGAAGAACAACTACGCTATACAATCATTTCACATCAAAGAATGATGAAAATAGGTAAACTGAAGAGTTGTTATGAACCTTGTATTAGATTTGTACAAGTCTCCACTGTAAGAAAAAAAAAAAGAAATTTTCTTATGCACAGAATGCTTTGTGACTACTTTATTCCTTCTTTTTGGTTTTGATTACATTTAGTTGTCTCGATGGGTGGGCCTCTGTCTCCTAGCAGTATCATTCAGTCTTCCCCTTTATATGTACAAGCAAATTGTAGCTGCGCATTTAACGCATCCTGAGTACTGAGATGATGTTTATCAGTGTATCACAGTTACCAATAATGAAACTATTGGATTAAAACCAATTTGTTGTACTGCAGTAAAAGAAGTGTTTGAAGATGTATGTAGTCATTTTGAGGCTTTTATATATCACCAGTATTCGTATTATGGAATCATATGCCATTTGTTTCTTCCATACCTTTCAGATCTTTTGAAGGTACGCTATACAAAAGAGGAGCATTACTAAAAGGTTGGAAGCCTCGCTGGTTTGTGCTGGATGTGACAAAACACCAGGTAAAACCTTTTCAGATAATGGATGTTTCTATGACTAGTTTGCTGCATTTTTTATTTACTGGGTTTGTATTGATTTGTTTTACAAGTAATACTAACAATGATGATTTTCAGATGTGTGATGTATGTGTTACATCCTTATAGACCATATATCTATGTTTATCTTGTGTGTCTTGTAGCTGATACAGCATTCTGAATGGACAGAGGTTTTTTAGTATTTTGTTTTTTTCAAAACACTGATAACTGTTTAGCACATAATCTTGAAAGACTTCTTGGGCTGGAAGTCATACATTATTGTTTGGGCCCAAACAGTTTTTGCCTGCTTCATACCTCAGGAAAAAAAAAGCCAGATAGTGCCTGAGGACATTTTCTGGGCATTGTGGTATACAAGCAATTTTTTTAAGCACTGCTAACTATAGAGTGTCACTAAGCAATTAAGTGGTGAGCATAATTTGCCCTTTAATATGACCTCTTTAGTTTCCAAATAACTAAAAATTCTTTCTGAACTAGAGAGTGAAAAACTTAGAAGGTATTTCCTAGAGTGCAATTGAGATGCTGAGAGTTGTTGTGGTAACTGATAACAAGTTTAATTCAAGCATTCATGTTGAAATTGTAGTATTGTATGCTCAGTGTGTATTTTACAGCCTCTTTGTTCCACAAGCACTTTGCCATGAGCATTTTTTCTTTGAAAATGACAGGATATTGTATACTCTGGAAAATCATAACCTGAATTGCTTCAGCAGGGAAATCCATTTACCTCACTTGACTTTTTAGTGTTTTTCTGTAACCTGTATTTGAGAAAGCTGACCTGGAATCTCTGTATGAATGTCTTTTCAAATATGGAGAACACTATCACGGATTGCTCTGAAATGTTTGAATTTTGTAAATAATTTTAAATGAGTTAAAGTTTAATCTCAAATCTGTATTTCTAAAAGTCCTGAAATGCCAAGTTCCTGACTGAACAATAATTTTGGGTGCCATATATAGGAGTATTTTAGATGATCATAGTGATGTAAATTTAGTAGCAAAATTATTCAGAAGTATTCTGACAAATCATTGTACAGCAGGGAAAACTAAAAAAAGAGGAGATCTGTTGGTCTAGACACTGTGCCCAATTTATAATGTATGCCAGAATTCTGCAGTGGAAATTTGTGGTCTCATGTACTTTAAATAATGTTAGGTCATCAGGCAGTAATCTTCATTAAGCCAAATGTTCCACTCAGTGTGGGTTGTAGCCTCAGAGACTCATGTATGCTTTTGTTTTGAAATATTAATCTATTGTAATCAATTCACTTAAAAAAAATTAGAATCATATAGTTATATAAATAGTCATATTTTAAAATGCTAATTGAGGATTTCTAGATTAATGTGGTAAAATACCAACAAATATGCTGATAATAATTATTCTTCCTGATATACAGGAGAAAAGGTTCATTTTTTCAGAAGAAAAAAATACTTTTACATTTTTTGTATAACCAAATATATCCTCCAGAGTATCATAGATGTAGGAGTAATACAGGTCAGTCTTAGTTGGAATTCTCATTGACCTTTGCTGTGAAGATTTGCTTTTCTATTTTGCATTGTTTATGGGATTTTTTTTTTAATTTTTTTTTTTTAATGAAAAGCAAGTATCAGATTTTCTCTTCTGGAACTTGTTTGCATATTGAAAGTCAGTTACCAGAGTGGTTAACATTCATATCAAAGTATCTTTACAAGGAAAAAAAAAGCGAGCTTTTTTCAACCACTAAGTGCAGTGTAGGAAAATGTAAGTTTTCTATGTAGTTTCTACTTATCTAAAATTGTACTTATATATTTGCTGATCATTTTAAATTCTTGAAATATAGAGAATAAGTGTTCTGTTAACTCCTTAGTGAAGTAAAGCTTTTGTGTTAGTTTCAATGTAATGAACAGTGAAGAGGTGGTTTCTGTTAGAAAAACTGATAAGGAATGCTGAATCCTAAAGACCAGGTTCTGCTTTCAGCCTTCACACGTCCCCTGCCCAGAAGCAATGAGTGACTATTTGAAGCTTCTCTGCTCTGAAACTCTGGTGACAAAATGCTCCTTCTTCAACTCTGTGTCTGCACAAGAGCAGACAGTGGAGATTTTGCTATTACCCAGAGAAGTAAAATAGAGAACTGGCCAGTTAAGGGCTATCACCCATCCTACCATTTTGTATATACCAAACCTATGGTTTGTGTCAGTTGTGTCTTTGAAATTTCCTATGTCTGATGTCCTCAGGTCCTAATACTATTTTGTGCCTCCCACTCTTGCCCCTCCACACCCCCAAGTTATATCCAGGAAAAGGGAAGAAAAAGTGAAAGGTCCATCTAAATAGCATATTCAGATTTTTTTTTTCCTCTTGTCATCTAGCTGCGATACTATGATTCTGGAGAGGATACAAGCTGTAAGGGACACATAGACCTTGCAGAAGTAGAAACTGTGATTCCTGCTTCTCCAACAATTGGAGCTCCAAAACATGCAAGTGAAAAAGCATTTTTTGATGTAAGTTGATCTTTATGTGAAAATTTCTTTTCTTGGTGGGTTTAACCTGCTACTTTCAGTACTGCTGGAAGATGTGAGCTAGGAAGGAGCTGTCATGCCAACTCAACACAAAAAAGTTTTTACACAGCCAGCATCTGGTGTCAATCTCGACAGCAGAAGTTAAAAGAATATTACAGTCAGACCCAATTAGTATATTGAGTATTACAGCTTAAAGTAAAGCGTGCAAGGTTTTTTTTCTGTTCCGTGTGTTGATTTGTCTGTCTTCATGTTCTTATTTTTCCTTTGCAGTTGAAGACAAATAAACGTGTATATAATTTTTGTGCCCAAGATGCACAGAGCGCTCAACAATGGATGGATAGGATCCAGAGTTGCATTTCAGATGCTTAGAAAGGAAAAACGTTCCATAACAAAGACATGTTTAAAGCACCTCTTCCTCTAAGAAGCTAAGTTCTGAAATGTTACTGACAGACAACCAGCCTTCCTTACATTTCAGCTGTAAAAGTTCATATTATGCTAAAGTTCCTTTTCTGTTTAATGATTATAACCACTGTAACTGCTGGGTTTTTTTCTACAGGGAGAACTTTGAAAAATAATCATCCATTTATCCTGAATTTCCAGTTTCTTCAGTACAATTCCTAGCTATAAAAGTGGACTGTATTTGCACTATCATCTAATCCTGGTTTTCTCATTTCAGAGCTGTTCTGTTAGGAAACATGTCCAAAGGAAATTGTAGAAATTTCCCCTACAACAGGAAGTGTATTTTCACTTTATTTATATTTTTTAGCAGAATATTCATATTTCCAAGCTAGTCATGAGTAAGAGAGAACATATCTACAATTCCTTAAAATAAATAAATAAATGAAGCTTGTGAGTCCAGTGACATACATATCAGGTTGCCAATGGTTATAGACAGTTGATATTTTTAAAGACCAAAAAGTGAAATTGCTCAATACCAGACTTTCAAGTGTCTTCTCAGTGTGCAGGTCATTCTCTAATCTTGTGCTCTACTGAGTGCTTCTGCAGTGTTGTTATGACATTGCAGATTCTAGGGATTATCTGAAGATCGTAGCACTTTGATTTCAGATTCTGTTTGCAATTAAATGGGATAAATGAAAGAAACCTGGCCAACGCTACCGAGGAGAAATGGAAGGCAACAAACTAGGAATTCAGTAGAAGAAAGATCTCATATGTGTGAGTTGTATATGTTAATTTATATGCTGTTCTGCTCACTGTAAAATAAAAATAACAAACATGATAATGCACTAAACAATGAAGCAAGCACTTGCACTGAAGTCTTTAAAATGCAGACATTTTGCAGGACAGAGGTAAGTTATTTATAGCAGAACAATACTAGCTAGTTAACAACATTTACAGATATTAAATATGTACATAATCAGGTTTGATGTGTTGTGATTTGATACTTTTTAAACATTTTTTGCACATGAATTGGAAGACTGTTTATAGATTTTTACATTTGATAAAATTGTGTTTGTTCAGCTTAAAATCCTGGCAAAACATTTTTAATAGCCCCAAATTGGTAGAAATTTTACAGTCTACAAATAGTGAGAAGATTGAGTAGAATAGTAAGTAATTAAGCCATTGTTTTTATTTTGAAATGTTAATATGTTAAATAGCACACTAATATTACAAAAAGTTTGTACATATGATTCACTATTTTCTCAGTTTTTTCCAGATGTTCTGCTTGTAATTTAATGTCAGCCTAACCAAACTGACTATACTTACAAGATTTTTCAGTTATTAAATTGTTCGTGGTTTTTTTTATAACTAATGTATTTTGTCAGAAAGGAACATAAGTTTCTCACCATACACAATAGGAAATGCAGCTGTTTTTAATGGATTTGCAAATTCAAAACAAAAATATGAAGGATTTTTCTAGCGTTTTTCAATTGACAAATTTCCACCTGTGACAATGGTGTTTGCACATTTGTATTTTTCTTTGTATATGAAGTACTTTTATATGTACTTTGTAAAATACTGATCCTGTTCTTAGGTTATATGAAAATATACATACCACTGCTTATTTTGTAACTAGTTAATTTTAACTCTTGTATGTTATGTGATATATGTATGCTAACCATCTTGTAATAAATAGACTTCTTAAGGAAAAGTAAAACCTTTCCTTTTACTGTAAAAGACCCACATGTTGAAATATTTCCATGGGCACAAGACAAATCCTTATTTACTCTGTATTAAGAATAGTGGGTGTATTAGAAACTATGTGGTCTTTTGTATATTTGTAAATATTCTTACATAAAAGTTGCACTTGAGCATCCTTAACTCAAACACTTGTCAACAGTAACACTAAAGACTAAAGAAATCAGAATTTAAAGCAAAATTATCATTCTAACAAGTCTCAATATATAGCCTTTACTAAAAGGCTAAATACATATAATGTTCATACTAAGTTGTTGAATAATGATGTTAATTTTTTTTTTAATCCTGTATGGTATTACAACATAAATCAACTGCATACTTTCACCCTGAAGCGTATCTCATTCATTTAGATCCCCTTATGCAAACATTATCTAGTTCATAAGAAATAAAGTATAAAAAAATGACAAGGTCTTACTTGAGAATGTGCATCTAAGTTGAATTACTGAGTGTAGTGTGGGATAGCAGAGTTAAAATGGAAAGGGAATGTGTGACGGAGGTGGGGGTCCTGTGACAATTCTTGGATGCTGTGGTGCTTAGATAATAAGGTTTGCATACTGAGCTTGGCATGGATGCTAATGTTGCCTTAAATGTTGATCTCAATTTTTAGTCTCTGTATTGATGGAAAATGGACTTGAGCAACTTCACTTAAAAATATACAAATAAAAGCTGAAATGAGATAAATTATATTTGTGGTGTTTATATAAGGAGTATACAAAGGACTGGTAGGCCTAGGCTCTTGGTGTGAAGACACTAAGTTTGCAGTGTCCCTGAGGATCTCTTCTGCACAAAATGAAAATTCTGAGACTTAGAGAAAATGTGGAGAAGTTAGCATAGCATAAGCTACAGCATTTGTCAGTGTGTTTGAGTTGACGCAGCAGAAGTAAAGAATTAGGAACAGAGAAATTGCTTGGGAAAAATTCTGTGTACAAAAGGATCTGTCTTCATATTCTATGGAAGTTTTCCAGAAAAAGGAACCTACCCAGGAGCAGGGGATGAGGTGAACATGTGCTCCCTGTGGATTTGTCGTATCACTGTTGCCATAGTGTGTATCATAGTATTCCTGATGTAGAAGAGAGAATTACTAGGGACTTTACATAAGGGAAGAAGACTGCTTGCCCTTTTCTGTGTTGAGTATTAAAATGCCCGCATGATAGGTGACGAGATTGACTTAGTTTAGGTTATGAAAAGTTGTTACTGGTATATTAAATCAGTAATTTCCCTTACCTATCTAACATACAAGTATTTTCTACAGAAGTCCTTACTTTTGATGGAATTTTAGAATTAGTATACTAAATAATAAAATACTTAGCATGCCACATGTGTGGGTCACTGGTTATGTAATAATACACAAACAGCTAACAGACCCAGGAACAAATGTTCAAAATTGTGTATCACATCCCACGCTCATTATTTGTATCTGATATTTTGTGAGTTGCAGACATAACAAAAATGTGGTGGTCTTGTCCAAATACTGTCATTTTGCCTTTTCATCCTGTAATATTCTTGGAGTATGTCTAAGTGGCTGCACTACATTTCTCATTTTTCATATTTATGATCATCCAAATATTTTGTCTGTTCATGATTATCCTGTGGTTGCTTTGGGGAGTCAGAAAACTGAAATTAATCTACCAGTTCCCCAGTTATGCTGAAGTTCATGCTGAGTATCACTGGCACACCTATTTTCTAGGGTTTTGTCTGTATTCGATCAGTTCTTCCCAAATTTTGGCTACTGTGCAAGCCAAGGGCAGCATTAGCATCCACATTCTCATTTAGGAAATTTTCACATTTGAGTTTTTTCACATACAACTTTTTCTTAATTGACTGTCAAATAAGGGTGCTGCAAGTTCGCCATTGTTTCCTCTCTTTACTTATTAGTCCAGCTAGCCTCAAAGGAATGGATTACTAATACAAATACTGCTGATAAGAATTGGTTTTGTGTTTCTTTTTGCATAATACAAAATCTCTAAAGACTAATTTTACTTTTTTTCATTTTTCTGCTTTAGATCTTTCCAGTCTAAGCTGATATTACTTTTCACCCAAAGGGACTCTTCAGTTCTCTAATTCACTACTCTATAAGATTGTAAGAGCAAATCAGTTAAGTGTAGTCAGCTATGGCTACCATCTTTAGCCACAATCACACTCCAGTTATTAAAACCCAGATACTAACTTCCTTTCTTACCACTGACAGTTATGGAAGTTTCTCCTTCATCACAGCCCATCAAGAGCTGAAGGGACTGAACACTGATGGAATTTCCAGTTTAGCAAGCAACTATGAAATAAACACAGCTTTTAATGAGTTGAGATTGTAATAATGCTCACTCGAGTCATTCCTGAGAAAACAAAAGAGGCTTTCTTAAACTGAGATATTTTATATCATATGTGGATTCCATGTGTTACTCCTAGAAAGTTCTCAAAACCCCATCTTGGAACAAAAGGTAAAAGCTGTGTTTTAAATGTAGACTCTCCAACATAATTTATTTGTTTATACCTTGATCTCTGTGCAGACCGTACAAAGCGGGAGATGTGCTAGTGGCAGCTGAATTTTAATTCCAGATTGTTAGTCATATCTTGCCAAAATGCTGTCTTATTTATCTTTTTCATGGTGGTCTAATCTGTTCTAATCTAATCTCTGCTTCTCTAAAATATTGCTTGTTGTCAGCATCCAATGGGAAATGACATTTTGTCCAGTTTCAGGTTGCACCCTATAGTTCAAGATTCTTACTTTCTCTACAAATTTTGCTTACATGTCAGAATTTGCATGTTTATGAATAGGAAACGTTGCTTGATTGTGGCAAGTTTACTGTTGCTGTTTTCTATTGTCTGCTCTTTGCTAAATATGTATTGTTTAGGTGTCTTCTAGGAGATTCATGGAGAGCCTATATTTTTATCTGTAAAGAAGGCAATAATAGAAGATGGAAATAGTTAGGCTAAAAGGACTATAGTATTATCCTGGAAGGAGATATGAAGGTAGCAGTTGTTTCAGGCATTGCATGGTACTTCTTCCTGCTCCTCACACTCACCTAGAAGAACTTGAGGCATTGTCTTGGTTTATTTTAAGATGTATTTACTGATGACTTATTTATCAGTGTATATTTACAAAATATTAATATATACGTTGTTTAATTAATTTCTCTCATTGTTCAATTCATTAAGGGTTTTTATATTTCAAACCCACTCAGCCTGTCACCAAACAGGACTTCCAAAACTTGTAGTGTCCCTTTGTGTTAAAAGTCTCCATTAATTGTCCGGAATTTATACTAGGTACAACATCCCTGTTTCATGATGGACAGATGAGACTGCTTTGAATTTAACACCCAGGAAGAGTGTTCTGTGCAAATGCTTTCTCTATGAGGAGAAGTTGTCAGGTAGCTCAAGAAACAAGCATCACACTGACATCAGTACTGAGGGCTTTGCCAGGCTACACTGGCTGTGGAACGTCTTCAGCAGTAGTGCCAGTGAGTTAAAAATTCTATTCATATCGAGATCTCCAGTAAGTTCAAAATGATAACTTCATAAAATTGTGTATAATTATGAATTAAGCTCAATATAATAAACTATAGTACAGGTAAAATCACTCTCATGTTTAAATACTTACCAGGTTTTGCATATGTTGCATTGGTTTTGTGCCATCACAATAATGGAAAGTTTGATTTTTATTTCTGCTGTG